TAGGCAGGGGCCATGCTATGAAGTTTAAACTTTTAATGTCATTCGGTTACCTCGATCAGCTTAGGCGTTGTTGGGCCGAAAAAAATGCAAGTTCACATCCCAAAACACCCGTTCCGTACCGTTATTGGTGAAATTTTCAGATATTTAATCGCCATGTCATTTTTGTCCGTGGCGTACTCGCTTTTCATCACGAAGTACCATGCTTGTTGCTGCTGATGATTTTCTCAAGATCTTCGGCCTTCACTCGTAATTTGTAGTTTACTTGAGCCACATTCCTCTTTTAATAAAGTCCCTTACAGTGACGTTTATGGGGCGGAATACGGATGCTACATTTTGGGTATTCCAGAAAAGCAATGAATTCATATTATTTGTATGATAATCAATGCTATATTATCGGTCTCCATCCCCTAAAGGCATGCGAAAGCGCTCTAGTTCTGGGTCTAGAGTTTTAGCTTGATGTGAGCAAGGCATGACAACCTTATTACTATCGGGTCACAGAAAGGCAATGTTGGCGCCAACCATGCTTGAAGTCTATCCCCCTATGGTTTTACACTTTCCTTTTGGCAGGTTTATATCAGATGTCTCTATACCTATGATCCCACCAAGGACACCCTTCTGCCAACAGGCCACAAGGGCTTAGCCTTCCGCAGTGGTGAGGTTCTCGAGCTAGTCGACTTTCAGGACCTCAACTGGTGGCAAGTACGACGTCTGGACAATCCCAATGGAAAAACCAGCCTTATCCCCTCTCAGACTCTGGAGGAGAAAAGGCAGGCTTTTAACCAACAGATTACCAGTGGGTTTAAACCTCTAATTGTGCGTTTTTACTGTTTTTTCTTGTCTCCTTTACACTTCTCTTTAAGGGCTTCTGTTTGCGCTCGGTTTGAAAAACCGGCCTATCTCGCAAGTCGCTACATTTTGCGTCAAAATTCGAAATAAACTCCATGGCTAAGTGTAAAAATCTGATACTGTCTGCGGGCATTTTTTACCAAAAAATTGCGAATGGTGTCCTTGCTAGTGAACAGAAGTGCAAAATTTGCTTTCCTCTTTGCTACCCCAAATCCCGTTCAAGACTGCCAGCTGCTCTGTTTCCTCAAACCCAGATTTGAAACCCTACTAAGGTTTGTTTGCCTCTCCAGCCTGTCGCGCTTACAGACGTGGACACGTTGATCGGGCTTTTGCCAACGTGAAGGTGGGGCGCGTGTGTGGTATTTAGACGTGCTTAACCTCCTTTACCGGCTTGCACTGGTCACATGTGTGCGATGATCATTAGCCGGAGCAAAAACAACACTGCCCTGGTGGGGGTCAAAAAATTGACATGTTGACGTCTTCTCTCGTATGGTAAAACTCCTCTTCTTCAACAACGACAGCCCTATTTCTTTGTCCACACTAACCGGCGCATACGGTGCCATTAGTATTGTAATATATTTTCATCGACCCAATTGTGAAAAAATTCGTGGGATTCGGTGGGATTCGAACCACATCAGCAGGTAAGGCCTCAGTACAGCCAACGCCACGAAGGCAGGCCGAGAGCGCTAAATTCAACCACAATTGGGTCGATTTGCTTGCCCAGCCTACTGTACGTGTGGAATCCACCAATACAGATACAGTAAGCTGACTGCCCAGGCAGGATTACCTAAGTAATCATCTAAAGTCCACCGGACGGACTACCAGACTAATCCTAATTATTGGGGGTTTGGCAGATTTTGAATAATTCCATTGACCCAATTGTAAAGAATTCGTGACCTCAGTCGGTTGGCTGTACTGAAGCCTCCC